TCATACTATCACTCGAATCGCGCGATCGGATCGCGAGGTATGAACGAGCTCTTGACCACAAGGTCATCATTTACACCAACGCAGACCAACGGTGTAAACAACAGCACGAAGGCCTGCACCGTAGATTCAGGCGACAGTAACATCGACTGGCAGCTTAGAGTATGCATGGCAGGGTACAGGATCGTGATTTGTGAAATGACGGTGTTACGACCCCCCCCCCTTCGTGCAAGGATCCTGGTACGACCCCCTCCTTTCCAGCTCCAATTGTTTGCTCTGACGAGAAGGATTAGATACGTAACGACACGCAAGCGCTGCGACCGCGTTATGATTCCATGGCTAGCTAATCAGGTGTGGAGCAGATCCGTTTGCCGGTGCAAATCGTGGGGCTTTTCCTGGTGTAGTGGTAAATCGCGAGCGGGTTTTTATGCTCGGCCATCGGAAGAAACGCCATCAGGACGCCCAATATTCCCTCTGTGTTCTTCTGTGTTGTGTTACTCACCGACCCTATGTTTACGACCCCCCCCCTCGATGGGTTTCGGTCACAACCATGCTGCATCCTGGTAGCAAAAATGCGAAGTACCCCCAAGCCGAACAGTGCACTTTCTGTGTTTTTCTCTTTACAAAGCTGTTACTGCTCTCTAAATTAAAACTTTTATTAACTCACCTTTCACGAGATACGTTAGAAAGTGGGTTAGAAACTGAAAATCCACATTTATCAAATCATGCAAAACTGAGAGATCCAGTTTATACAAACACCGAAATGGACGAGGAGCTACGGGGCACGGCTAAAACGTGAAAAACTGACAATCAAACACGTGATAAATGAGTAATGTGAATGGTTAGGGACCAATTTAAGACAAGTCTACATTAATCCATGTTCTCTTCTTCATCAATCTTCGGGGCCAGGTAGAACCGCAGATGGCCGTTTTGTTGACCAGACGACTTTCCATCATCAGTCAAAGGATACCTGGATAAATACAATCTCATTCATTTCTGAGATATGTTTCTCATCCATTTCAGAGGAAAGCAATCAAGGAAAAAATACTATCATAAACTTACTCAACAACTATGGGTACGTCGTTGCTCAGTGATATATCGTACACACGGGCTGTGACTAGTGAGTGAGCTTTCGCTGAACTGGTTCATGTTATTTGATTGAAGAAGTTGCATTCTATGGACAGGATCAGTGCCATCTCTCACAGCGTTACTAGCCTGAACAAAAATGTACAATTAAGAGGAAACAGCCTGTTGTTAACCAAGTTGAAGAAGGCCACGGGGAGGCGCTTCTGAATCTCTTCGTCAAACGCCATAGATTTGTGCTCAGAGCGCATGCCGTTCAGACTTCATCATGTCACGCGTCGACGCGGTACAATGGCGCTCCAATTCTATAGACGCGAACGCAGCCGTAGACGGGAATCGATCGGCGTCGGCCGCTCATGTTTCGAGAGAGTGTAAGACAACAGACAAGGAAAGCTGACGCTGTCTTCACACAGTACGGTACCCTCCCATTTACCTAAACTCTCCCAAACCCTTGTAGTCGGTGCCGCTCGATATCAGAAGGCGTGATTAGGCGACGCGTATCCACCTGTTCTCCAATACTCTCTCTATACACGAGCGGCGATTTCCTTCTGCCGCTGCATTCGCGTCTATAGGACTGGAGCGCTGTTGCAAGTGTGGCGGCGTGTCATCCCGAAGTTTGAACGCTACCGTATCTCGCACAGCCGTCAGGCTCTTTGCGATCTGAAGGATGTCTGAGCTCTATAAGCCCTAAGTATGGGACTCAGAGGCGCCCATCCGCTCAACCGTTAGTTTAAACACCAGCCACATTCAGAGGAACCAGCATCCTTTATCTTTGAAAGCCATGTTTTTCAGAAGACAAACTAGTTTTCTCTTTCCCTGAAGTGTTAGATTTATGAGCGCTTCCTCGCCAATCAAATTTGCTGCCTTTGCCTGTGTATGGGTGCGTCAAGCGTCAACTGAGACCGCGTTCAGACTCCGCAATCGCTCGATTGGATCGCGCGATCGCGAAATGTTGAACGCGGTAGGTGTGTGGCTTTACGCCCGTAGACCATGTTATTTTTTCTGGCTAAAGGACCATAGCTAATGCATGACTTGCAAAGCACACTTACATCATCTTCGCTGTCAGCGCTGCTATTCGGTGAATAGGTGATCACCGACTGACCATTATCACCCTTTCCAGAGAATACAATACCAGCCTAGAATAAAAGTGAGTGATTGCAATGACATTTTGAAAACAAGAAAAAACCTCTACCTTGGTGGCTGTAACGTTGAGTGTATCAGTGAACATGGTCAAATCTTTGCACGTCTTCTGGAATTCCGAGGCAGGCATTTCGCACACAACAGCATAGTCTTGCTCGGGAATACCCAGATGCTCGCTGTCGATATCCATCATTTTAACTGTGACGTCCTGAAAAATAAGCGATTTCGGAAACTCTCACAGCCAGAAAAGCCTGTACTAGGAATCATTTCCAACCGTCCCATTGGAATCTCTTGTTGGTAGGTCTTACCAAATAATTCACCAAATGTTTAAAATGTCTTATTTACCTGCGTTTTGTCCCTCTTCGTGTCAGCGAATGTGAACGTAATACTGTCGCTGTCGCCTTCCTCATACTTGATCATACACGTGTCATCATTGTTGGCACATTTCAATGCTTTCGACATGTTCGCCAGCGACATTCCGAGGTTAATCGTCCTATCACACCGATACGTATCGAAAAGCCCCACCTAAACAATTTAACTTACGAAGTAATATTGCCATACGAGTCATATACCGTAAATATGTCCAAAAATCAATGGCCAAACAATTCCATTTTGCGTTTTTTTTTCACAGCGAATCTGACTTCTTTTTCCTCCGAGGCATAGGGATTGATTTCGCTGGATCGACTAGTCAGGAAATCAAAAGCTCCTTCTATTTTCCCACATGTCGCCGGTACAATACAGTTCAACCAAATAATTACTGATTCTTTACAATGATTGTTTGATCTCAAACCCTAGCAGCAGCTATTTTGACCTTAGCGGCGCGCGAAGAACACCGGCCCCATTGGTGTTATCAACCCTCACTGCATTTCTCGCACCGATAAGAAGGTACGGAGAAAATCCAAGACGTACTTCCATCTTGAGCGACACTAGGGCCACATGTGATGAATCCATAGCTTGAAGACACATTGCTGATTCGGAGCAATCGAAGGGAGCATCAGTTACGAGATCCTTGAAAAAACTTTTCATTATTGAAACATTTAAAACCAGCAAGCAAACTCCGTATACCAGCAAGGGAACTAACCTTGATGCCTTCAGATAATCTTCTTGAAGAAGGCAGCGCCTCATGCAGCTTGCCCTCGAACATATAAATGTTAGTTATCTGAAATGCCATCACTTTTTACTTTAGGCCGAAACAAACGCGTTGCTTGGACTACTATCTCAACGCGTTTCATATTGTAACTCAGGCCATTACTGTAACAAACAGGCCGTATAGAAAAGGAATTCAAACTAGCGAGCGAGACGAATCGCAGCCCTAATCCAGGGACATAAATATATAATGAACCTCATTCAATAATGCTTTATGCTCAAAATGCCCAGGAACTCAAAAGAAAAAAGACGCTCACTTAGAAAAAAACAAGGATGCCACAAAAAAAAAACCACGAGAACGGCACCACAGGCCAGCACTTGCTCGATTCAGCGTGGTTGGTTTTCTTCAAGATTTTCGCCGCGCATTCGACGATTTCCCGCGCTTTCTTCAAACCCGAATTGCAATTGGAGCGAATTAAGCTTACTCCCCTTATGCGCTGGGTGTACCAGGAGGCCGCGAATTACATTAGCTTGCGACCATGAAGAAATGCAGAAATGCGGAAAATGCAGAAGTGCGGAAAGTGCAGAAGTGCGGAATCTGCAGAAAAGCAATAGATACGTATCGACTTGAAGAAATGCAGAAATGCCGAAACTGCAGACGTGCGGAAAGTGCAGAAATGACGAAAAGCATTACATACGTATCGATTTGAAGAAATGCAGAAATGCCGAAAGTGAAGAAGTGCGGAATCTGCAGAAATGCCGACAGTGCGGAATGTGCAGAAAAGCAATGGATACTTATCGACTTGAAGAAATGCAGAAATGCCGAAAGTGAAGAAGTGCCGAATCTGCAGAAATGCCGAAAGTGTGGAAAATCGATACGTATCGGTTGCTTTTCTGCACATTCCGCACTGTCGGCATTTCTGCAGATTCGCGCATTTCTTCACGTTTCGGCGCATTCTGCACCAGATTCCGCACTTCTTCACTTTCGGCATTTCTGCATTTCTTCAAATCGATACGTATGTAATGCTTTTCGGCACGTCTGCACTTTCGGCACGTCTGCAGTTTCGGCATTTCTGCATTTCTTCAAGATCGATAGGTATCTATTGCTTTTCTGCAGATTCTGCACTTCTGCACTTTCCGCACTTCTGCATTTTCCGCATTTCTGCATTTCTTCATGGTCGCAAGCTATGAACGCGGCCTGAAGATGTTTCCCATGGGAGCACTCGAGGTAATAATCACATCATTAGCACTTAGATAAGGTGTTTAAGCATCATCGAAAAATTCGCAGTTTTTTCTCGATGATACTAGTTCGCGTTTCCCTGGGCGCTATTTCCCTTAACAATGAGGAGCAATTTTGTGACTTCATGTAGAAAAAAACAAAAAATGATACGAATTAGGCGCAGTTCGGCGGCGAGGGGCATTTTGCACTTTCGCTGCTTCGCTAGTTCCGGTTTACAAGTCGCACTGTAGTGAAATCTGTGAACTCTCTGAAGATAGAGTGAGCTCGTCAAGGCATCATGGTAAAACCTGTCAACTCGAGATGAGGCTGTCTAGATGGGTCGCTACGTCGGTGGGACCAATAAGCGAAAGCTGCCAAAATCCCCTTCCGCGATATGCTATGAACGCCCAAAATTACGCGATCTCATTTTAATGGGCCATGTAGCCCGCGACCGGATTGACACAGTCGATAAACGTACAGGGCGACGAGGGGGAAGAGGAGTTTTGTACATTCGCTACTTCACTGGTTCCTGTTTATGAGTCTCACTTCTGTCAATGTCAACTCCTGTGAGCTCATGATAAAGCTCATAAAATGAACTTCTTCATGAATGAACAAGAACTGACAGGTGGTCTCTAGAAACTTTGTATCAGGGCGCGCTAGGGAAAGTTTTCGTGAAATACGACCGTCCCCCTGATTTCTTCCTCTACTCCGATCCTCTACTCCGACTCCAGCCTTCTAACAACGAGCACTACGACCCTCCCCAGTGGGATACTAGCAACGAACTGAATAGCGCCCGTGAAACGGGAAAAATCAACAATCAATAAAATTTTCTCAGACCTAACACGTCCTCCCCCTCCGACTGGGGACTCTCCAACGTGCTACTTATCCTGTTTGGTATCATTGGGCGGCTTCATACCTTTCGACAGATCCTACACTTCGATGCCGTTCGACGGGAAGCAGTAGAAGTCCTGCCAAAATTGCCCCACCCGCCTTCCACCCCCCTCGGCCGAATTTGCATCCGGTTTGGGTGTGGCACTCTACCTGTGAGATGCGCCACGCGTCCAGCTTGCATTACATATCCCAGAACCGACTGCAAAAGACTGTTCAGGTTTCCGTTACTTCGATGCGCATACATCTGACTTGATCTGAAAAGCCTGGCATAGTCTTGGCATGGACTGTGACCTATCACTCGAGCAGAGCTACGACCTTCCCAGCCACCATTATTATTCCACTCACTCAGTGTTACACATCACGTAAAAATTTAAATATTTCAGAAATAGAATTTTCGGGGCTGAATGACCTGGCGGGGGGGGGACCTGTACGCGCTACGAAACCCTGTAAACTGCGAACATGATATTGAACGAACTTGCCAACATCCTGTAAGCCTTGTTGTCAATCACCTGTCGACTACCCTATGAAAACCTGCCGAACCAACATGGGTTCACTTGGACGAAAAAAGCTTTTGGACTTTCTCACATGCGGAATATTGTTTGCAGCCCCTACTAAATAAGCTAGCGCTGCAACACCCCCTAAACAATCGCGAGAGTGCAGTAATTAATGGCAGTGGTACCAATTCAAGCTACCAATGGTCCTTGTCTTTTGGTCTAACAACATCTGGAACAGTTTTTTAGGCGGAACAGAAGATAGAAAAAAACAAAAAACAACAAATAACATTGCTAACAATAAAACATAACGGATAATGTAAACAATAAAAACTGTTAAACATGTCACACTGAGTAGAGTTACCTCCCCCACCCCGCCAAGTGATTTGCATGACGGCTTGCTGAACGGAGGTAGGACTGAAAGGTGACCCGAGGAAAACCTAGGGCCCATCCATAGAAGTTTGCACGGAACAATACTATCTTCCATATAGACTTTACCGACAAAGCACATAACTCACTAGTCAGTAGCGATTTGTATAAAGTGATAACAACTGATTAAGGCTGGGGCCAATATATAAGCATAATTATTTCTTCCGCTTTCCGCCAACATGCTTTGCTCCAGAAGCACGATTCGCTTTCTTCTTGAGATTTTCTTGCCTTCGGTGTTCCATGTACTCCTGCAGCTTCGCAGATTTCTTTCTGATCTTCTTTATCTGGCTCACATTCCGGAGCTCAGATTTGGAAGGCGTCCCTGAATAAAGGCGTGAAAACGGGTAACACATTTTCCTGACTGGTAACAGAAAAGAAAATCAGGCGCAGTTCGACTTCGTGGGAGCATTTTGCAGGTTCTCATCGATCACTGCCGACGCCTGTTGCGGAGACGCAAATTCCTGTGAAGCTATGCAATAACATGAGCCTCTTACGCACTGATTGAGAACTCACAAGGTCGCCAAGGGGTGACCAGTAGCTTAACAGGAACTAGTAAAGAGAAGCAACGAAAGTGCAAAAGAACCCTGTCCTTCCCCCCCCAAGCCGAACTGCGTCTAACAAAATTACAGCAACTACCTTAGCTTGTTGCTTCCTATTGCTTCGTAGAGGCTCACATTTATTGAATTTTGAGATTTGTTGCTACCCGATGTTCCTGCTTCTTGCTCCTCACCATCGTCCTCTTCACCCTGGAAAAGAACGGATCCTCACAGTTGAGACAACATATACAAGTCCAGACGAAACAAGCAATTCCACAATTCTCGCCTTCTTATAACCGATTTTCTGTTTCTTCTTCCAGTCCTCGTATCGGCCAGTTTTATATATGAGGCTGGGAGCCATGTTCCGTCTTCAGTACGTATTCTTTTGATGTCTTGTCCATCACCGCCAGGTCCAACAAATCGTTTCTTTTTACGATCCCTGTAAAAGGTCATCAAAGACTGAACACTGTAAAAATACATTCCCGCGATGAGGAGATGGGGAGGCAGAGGAGGGGACGGCTCAGGGACGTCCTTTCAATCGCATGCCACCTCTTTTTTTACCCTTTGGGAGACAACATTCCCTCACTCATGTGCTTATCGCAGAATGTGCCCCTATAAAGGCTCACAGTGAAGTGTGAAAATAGTTCTGAGGTAATGTAGCTCCCATTGTTTTTTTTTTGAAAAAAAAATAAATACTAGCGCTGTGGTCAACATCGATAGCTCCCTTACCATCGCTTTGCGTGCTTTTGCTTATACAGTCCTTTATCGTCATCAGCAAAAATCTCCACAGTAGCACCATCAGCTTGTCTTGCGAAATCCACCTTGTCCAAAGCCAATTGCTTCTCAGACTCGAAATCTGCTGCCGAGTAAGCCACAAAATTCCTAGCCTGCCCAAGCGAACCGGTGGGGGGTTTACTACTGATATACACACCAACTTCATTGGGCTAAATTTCTTCACAACCTTATTCTCTTCTTTCTTCGGCCTTGTCAATCTTGTTCGAAGTCTTTGGTTTGCTTGCTTCTCCATGTCCTCCACGCCCGATCACTTCAGTAAACACTTCTGACTGGAAATCACGTCAATCAGGCAAATGTTATCGAGGACACGTGGATAGATAGGCAAAAAAGACCTTATAAGGCTCCTAAATTTGTGCAACTATGCGCATTCGCGTTCTGAGGCGATTGAGGAGCCCTTATCAAATATAAGCACACTATCAGACTTTTAAAGGGTGGACTATCTAAGGAACGTTGTTCCACAAGTAGAGATATCGCCTTCTCTTCGATTTCACTCTCATCACGTTGGACGTGCGTGTGCAGTAAGGCACAAAAGCCATCGAGAGAGAGAAAAGAACGGCCCTGGTGGTGTAAAGGATAGCGCACTTGCCCGGTCAACGTAAGGTGCAGGTTCAAGTCAACCTTGCGTCAAGACTTTTGCCCATCACTAAGCATTCTTGTTATTTTACCATCGTTTCATCTTGAGTGAAATAAAAATGAGATGAAAAGGCGCACAGATAGCCCACCATACCTTAAAGTGAAAGAAGGTCACGGAAAATTAGCTGCTTTTCTGGAGGTCACAGGACAAGGCAGCACAAGATGACACGAGCACGAAAAGAAGCGAGAAAAAAAATCTTGTTTAGGTTGCGCATTTCGATTGGGAGCCAACCACATCTACCAGACGGAATCCAGAACAGGGAGAAAGAGCATTATGCTTCGAGAAAAACCGTTTCGCTTGTTGAGTTTTCCCGTGCTATAGCGCCTGTTTTACCGGCGCTGTAGTCTCCCGCTTCACCCCTCTTGCCTGACGTATAGTTTTTTTCTTAGGGAGGGGGTGGGGGGGGGGTTGGGTGGAGGGGCGGAGGATTGCCAGTACTTTTCAGAAAAAAAAATCGTGGGAAAGTTCGGAACAGTTCGGGGATCTTGCGTAGAATGCTATTGAGATGCGTAGGTAAGATGGGGCAATGCGGAAAGAAGGTCCTACGCCTCAGGAAATTTCAGAGGGTTTTATTTGAGATTTTTGCTTTATATTTTATGCGGCGGCAGGATCGTAGCGGAGCTTCAGATAAAATTCTATTGATTACCACCCAAAAAAAGCGATGGAGCCGAATCGGATGTTCCGAAGTGTTCATTTTACGATGAGAGCCATATTTTCTGGATATTTCTCCTCAAAATTATATTCCCAGTACAAGTATGTCATCACTCACGATGGCCGCTTCATCCGCATTTTCAATATTGGAATCCTGTGCAGTTTCTCCGTGACTTCTGTCCTCTGCGGAAAGAAGCTCCTTCCTTCGTGCTCTCTCTTCATTTTCTTGGCGAATGCGTTCTTGATGTTGACGACGTTTTTCTTTCATGACAGCAGCAGAATGAGACTTGCTACCAACGTTCAATTCAAAAATCGTCTGAATGACAAATGCAATAGTATTCAAATCCGCTCTAACTTGCCATTTCGCTCTGAATGAAAAGAAACCTACCGCACAGCTTTTATATTTTGCCAGCTGGTTCAAAATGGAGTACTGTTGAGTATCCTGGGCAGTACGAAGGAATGGATGAGCGGAGCATTCAGCTACTTTCAGTCTGAAAACAGCGGAAACGGCAGACATTGTGCCAAATGCCGGCATGTTTGCTTGAAATCAAGGAGATCGCATAGACAGAAACTCAAAAGAAGGTAAGAATAAAGAACTTCGCAATGAGCGTGTTAAACACATACGAAGCATCTAATCGAGGCCCATAAACATATATACTAACTTTGTAGCCGCAAGCTTTCACCGGGGATTCTGCGGTCGATTACACATCTCGTGATTGTGAGTCGTGGACGACTCGACTCATATATAAATTTTCGAGGTGCTAATGTACTCATTTGTCAGCATTAGTGAAGAAAGCACAAGAATCCGTCTAAAGCAGCTAGCACTCCGAATCAAGCCACCCTCAAAGGGAGAAAGAGCGATCAGACAACTGCATATGTGACAGTTTGTTCGCAATGATGCTGTCAGGAAGGATGGGTTGGCGCAGCGCCAGCCCAATTCTTTTCTTTTTTCGTTCGGCAAGCGATGAGGCTCTATCATATCGTTCGTATCAGCCGTTTTTCACCAATTGTTGTCGCTTACCCTCTTCACCAACTGGCGAAGAGCGGACTGTGGCACTCTAACCAGCGAACAAGACGTAGTGGCCCCAAAGCTAGCAGAGTGGATTATTTAACATATTTAATGCTGAGCAGGACGAAAAATAGGTTCATGGTCAAGTTGCAAAGTCCCTGAGTTTACCGAAAGCGCAGTTCGCAGTGGAAGTAGCTACAAGGACCTCTAGGGAAGAGATTCATCACCACTCGTTGTCGGAGATGAGTATGCCAACGCCGAAGAACATGAACATCAACGGTCCGTTCAGACTTCGCTATGACGCCCCAATCGCCGGTAGTGGTTCGACGCGCGCCGTCAATCGTCGAGTTCAGCCCAAGCCGATTAGAAGGGAATAACAAGTCCAGTAGTGATAATCTCGGCGCCGGCGCTGGTGTTTTGCGAGCGTACCAAATTGTGTGACTAGGCGTTCACAAGTAGCAACGCTGCTGTTTCGCGACCACTCTGCAAAAGTTCCCATGTTACGACGCCTACATCGCCGCGCGCTATCGCGAAGTCTTAAGACAGCCTAGGACTACATAAGGATAGTGTTTAACGACAAAAGGCTCACCGTAGCTCCTCTTTAACTCTTCTAGCCGATTCTAGCTGATGGTGTTGTAGACGAAGTGCGACTGTAGACGGCATCATAGCATTGTAGCTTTCTGCCGGAGTATCCAGCGAAAGCGTATAGCCTCAAATCACTGTGTAAGAGTTATACTTACTCAAGTACCTGATACCCCATTTCTTCATTATATCATGATGGAGTTGGAAAGAATTCTCGTTCACGCGCTGCCTATGCTTCTCAGGTGCCTTTGCGACATTAAAGATCCGTTTGCTCTGGAAAGAAATGATAAATACAATCACAGAATAAATTCCATGCCATATAAACAGCATTCACCATCATAGTTTGTCATCATGCTCTGACGCAAAGTCCGCATGGGTTTCCCCCAAAAAGAGCGAAAACAGCGTCTTGCCATAGATATGGCATTCATCGGGACGCATCAGAGCATATCGCGCGCTTACCGAGCTACGGCCGCCTCTGGCTACACGACCCACACGGTGGACGAATAATTTTGCTTTGGGAGGAAAATGAAGGTTGATCACCTAAGAAAATGTAAACATAATAATAAAAAAGTTGCAAAACAACTACATCAAACGTACTGTATCAAGCAGAGGGATATCAACACCACGTGCAGCTACATCAGTAACGATGAGAATATTGTTTTTCCTTTCCGCGAACCTGAAGCAATGTTACAGGTCGCTACAAAAGTTCGGGATAAAAAAGTAATAAGACCAGGGAGTTATTCTGTCAAGTAATCACGCCGCTGACCCACACAATATATTTCATGGTTCGGGAAAGCGTAGTAGCATACTTCATTTGAACATTAAGTATGCGTTCTTCGGAGAGAATTTCTATTTGAGGCAAAGGTCGTCCTGTTTAGAGCTTGACAAGGACGTAGTTAAAGTTGTCAAAAAATACGGCACCATCCCACGAAGAGCACAGTCTCCACCACGTTAAATGAAGTTTGCAGCCACGCCCTCCCCATCTCTAGGATACGTAATGTACAACAAAGCGCATAATCTCAGGACGAAAGAATTATGCACGCACTACCTTGCAATATTCAGTTTCCGTGCCGTGGCGTCAAGTTGACTGTATATGAAGGAATTATCGATACCAGCCCGATTCATGATTCCTACCACATACCTGAAAACGGAATAGTAAGTCAACAAATTTATTGTGAAGAAAGGCTTGAAAGCCTTGGAAAAACATCCAGTCAAGCTGGCTGAACTGGTCACGATTTCCTATAATGAGGCTGCAGCTGTTGAGAAAAATCCGAAGCGAAAACCCTGGGCAGGATGTATTAAAAGAAAGAGGTGCTTACGTAGTTTCAGGGTTGGAGGACAGGGCACGCGGTGAGACTAGAGCGGTTTGTCCACAACTCCGACCCTGATAGTGATTCTCTAGCTTCCTGAGGCTAGTTCACAAACAGTTCAGACAACTGGGATTGTCACACCAGAGAACTTCGCAGGCCGGTGAACCGCTGCTACCGTAAGCCAACTGTACGAGACTCTCTCTTCCTTGGGCTCAGGATGCGCGCGGGAAATCGCGTTGCGCACTCAAGCGAGTGCGTCAATGTGGTGAAACGTAGATTGCGTACAAGCCGGAGGTGGTATAAAATGGAAACTGTGAGAACCTCATACTCGGGAAACTAAACAAAGCGCGCAGATTACGCGGTCCCAAGGTTCCTCGGACTGCGGAACTTTCTTGCTATCCTTTTCTCTCCCATCGTTGTTAATGCCACAAAAAAATAATAAAACCTGTGATATGTAAGAACTTACTCAACGTGCTTCATCGTTGCACAAAACACAACAGTTTGCTTGCCTTCAGCATCCATTTGTCGGCATATGTGTAACAATACTTCTAGTTTGTCATCAGCTCTACAGGTTGCAAACACCATTGAAAGCCGATCCGAAATCTTCTCGTCGACATCGAGGCGAACTTAAATACGGATCCACACAGTTATAGCCAAATAAGCTGAAGAAACTACTCACCCAGCATAGGATCCGATAGTCCAGCTTTCGCAAAATCCACAAGCATTTTCGGTAAAGTGGCCGAGAAGAGCAAGGTTTGTCTGCTTTCGGGTATACGTCGAGTTCTCAGGCGATAATATTCATGGCAGTATTCTCATGAATACCCAACCAACGTTAATTGATCCTGACACAATAACGTCCAGCCTCATTCAAAACGCACGTACTGTACAGAGCTCAGCCGCAGATCCATCTCGACTATGACATGAAGAAGTCGACCAGGAGTTGCGATTAATCTTCAATGCTTTAATTCTTTATCGGAATGAAACGGTACGAAAACCAAACAGAATAAATGCTAGGAAACGGTGTTATGTTTGCGGAGGGGGCATTTTGCATTTCCGTTAGTCTCTTTTACAAGTTGGTGTAGAATTACACCTCACACCTCGGCGATACTTGTGGAGCCTTGTCAAATGCTAACGAAGTCCTGGTCTAATGCAGCTTTCCAGGTAATTTACAGACATCGACAGTTTGATTGACCCGGAGCAGAAAGGCCTCCACATAGCCAACTGTGCGCAAACATCGAACGCTGACTCTCAATTTCTGACACTTCTGAGGATTGCTAAAGTTTGCCATGAGATCTCCTAGCTAAGCTTTACATCAAAGTTTTCGCGTTGCGGTTTTAACGGGTAGTATTATCTCTCATTAAAATTCCATTACGCTATTTTTTGACAGCTTTTAGCGCTATAAGCAGATGAATTTCGCGAACCGCGAAAATATGTCGAGATCCAGTGCATGTAAAACTAATGGCTTAGTGTGGAGAAACAACGCATTTCACACAAAATTGCTCTACCCTTAACTTCGTTATATGAACTCACATGTCAAGGGTTCTTCATAAGCAAAGAGAAACTGATCCTCAATAAGCATCTCCGCGACTAGGATAGCACATCGAGGCCGGTTTGAAAGCACCATTCTATTAAGTAGATCTGGCCCCAGAGTAAATCTTGTAGGTAGAGGACGTAAGAGTTTGAAAAAAAATAATCAGTGATATCGAAGATGTAGCTTGTGCATTCGATATAGTGCTTATGTAGATAGTGATAAATGAACTTTAAAAATAATATGGCACACGTTTTTAGTTCGCCGCAAATGGAAGAGGGCGTGTGGGGGCACGGGTTTCGCGCGGTGACAGCCTGCTTTTTCCTTTTTTCTCAGCAAACGACAAAACTGTATCATATCGTTCGTATCAGTGATTTTCCAACAATTGTTGACGCTTATCGGCCTCAGCAACTGCTCGACAACGGGCTGGCGGAACGCCCTCCGCCTCCAAACTCGTCCACCGTCCGCAGTGAACAAAACTGTAAAGTAAATGAATGTTTCGCTCTGACAGCTGCTACTTTTCAGGCAATCCCTATCTTCCACAGAAAAGCTGATTTTAAGGACAACAGTGTTGACTCTAGCAGGGCATTGAAACCGCCCAGGTTAGCCTAGCGGCATTTGCCATAAGCTGAGATGGGCTAAAGACAGTTGTAATAGTTAGCAAAAATGTAATCGAGAACGAAATTTTGCCGCACCTCTTTGACGACTTTGAACGTTTGAAGGGCGAGTTCTCGCGTCGGTGACACTAAAAGAGCACGTATACCCCTTGTATCGCGCCGTTTCAAGCGCTGTAACATTGGAATAACGAAGGCTGCTGTTTTTCCACTGCCTGAAAAATGAATACTGTATTGAACCATAACCACTTATGAAGTACTTTTCTTTTATTCAAACCAGGGCAGGTCGTATGTTGGCGATCTCCAGCGAGAGGAGTTCCATAAAGTACAGGAAGTTGAGAAAATTAGAAGATGGTAGGTGGGATGGAGGATGTGAAAGGGGGTCATGCCAGAGGAGGATGTTTTGAGAGGAGGTGTTACAGTGCAAAGATTTCCCCCAGTAGCAGGACGTGCCCAGACTCAAACAGCAAACCATCGATGGGTCTAACCTTTGGAGACCCCCCAACCAACCTCCCATCCTTCCAATTTTTCTCAACTCTTCTCTACCAAAAAGCCGCCATGGAGCGATGGAGGGGGAGTTAGCGCAGCAAAACGGAAAACCATGAAAATTCGACAAGCGTAAAATAAGTTTTATACTAGTGATCCCCACCCCTACCCTCCCAAAATCCA